GAAGTAGAAAGAGCCCTTGCAAAACGAAAGCGGAGACTGAGTTATTAGCCAGGGAGACGAACATTAGGCAGCTGACAGGACTAGCCATCAATCACCTGCACATGGAGTTGACTAGGGGCCAATATTAATTCCACTTCCTCCATTAAATTCATCGCAGGACGCAGGCTACTCCCAGCAAAAAGAACACTCTCTGGTGCAATTGCACTTCCGTTGATCATTTTATTGTTTGGCCTTTGGCTGCCAGACACAAAACCCCGGCCATCCGAGAAGAAAAAACAAACGGAAACTAAATCCGAGTCAAAAAGTTCCTACGACTGTTGCAGTTTTGGCCCAGAAACGACTGCGGCGGTTTAATTGTCCGTGAAGGATTTATTTCTTGGGAATTATGATTTATAAGGTCAGCAGCCAGTTGCATTCACAGATTTCATCCACATCCACAGACGCAAGGAAAACCTGCCACATAAAGTCTTTGCTAGACTTTGCTGTCCTGGCTATTGACCTCAATTTCCTCTCGCCAAGAATGCACCTTTTGTCTTTTAGGAAAAATGAAATTAAGCTGAATTATGCAGGGCTTTTAACTGCATGTGAATCATATTTTCGACAATGCAGGAGTAAGCACAAAATGCACCAAAACTGCTTTGCAAATTTAGATTCAATTTCCTAAACTATGTGACTGTGAAAACTCAACAACGGAAGTGAATAGAATTTTCTGTTAGTTTATGTGTTTATGGTTTCGTTTGCCCCCAGGACAGATGTGTTAATGATATAGTCTCAAATTTTTACAAAACTGAATTTCTGTTTTAGAAGGTGCAAAAATGTCTTAAGATAAAATGTTTCATGGTTTTTAACTATAAATTGAAATTTAATATTATTAATATATTTCAAAAATTATATATTCCCGAAAGGATCAAACATTTCTATTACTTCTGCATTATAATTTTTTGAGCAACATTTTTAATCCCTGGCAAGTGTATACATTAAACAAAACGCATCTATTGGAGAGTGGCTGAACTAAATTAAATTTAATGTAAAGAACAAGGATTCCGACAACTTTTTTGAGGGAAGCTTTTAAAAAAGCAACACAACTTTTAGTTCCTGAAAGCTTCAAATGGGCTTTAATTTCAAAGCTTTTAGACGGTTGCTAAAACAAAAATATTAATAAAAAAGCGCTGGTTGTGTTGAAATACGTTTTTACACAGCTTTTTTTTGTAATCTACATAGGTGTATGTTAATCGTAATAACAGGTGTGTGTTTCAGCTAAAAAATGTGCTCTCAACCAAAAATAAGCTGCTACATAAATAAGGTACACTTTTGCTCACTAAGAAGAAACACACAACGCACACACAACACAATTTAATACAAATTGGACCACTTTACAAATAAAATTTTAGAGCAAACAAGAATAAGAGCAAGATTATATATGATCTCAGTTAGAGTTCTTCTAAGCGGATACGTCTATTAGAATTTTTCGCAGTGAAGGAAACACCTCAGATTTATATGTTTTTAAATTTTTCATATGGCAGCTATATGATAAATTTATCCAATTTGGATAAAATTTATTTCAAAATTGGATAGTAGTTAAAAAACACCATCTGTAAGAAATCAAGTCAATATGATCAAAAACGACGGAGTGATAATTTTTGTTCAATCTCTTTCCATAGCCCCATAGTCTATCCGATATAATCGCCTGATCCGGCTCATTCTTTTGGTAAGGTTTCAAGCAGTGGCGGATCCACGGGGGGGGTTTTCGGGTCCGGACCCCCCATGGGATCATATACTTTCAAATTTTATGCTTTTATTGGGCATGTTGGTGGAGTTGAAACACAAAGTTATTAATAAAAATTCGTAATTTTTTTAATGTTTTACACAAATTTTAATTTATTTTCGAATAATAAATCAAGAAGAAATATTATATATGATCCACAAACGGTTCTAGTCACTCTTAAATTTCCGAGGTTTTTCAAAAAACTTTCTGAGAATTTCGTCTTCAGTCAAAGTTATGCGATGATGAATGTTCAAAGATGCAAGACCATTGAGACGCTCTTGACCCATCGTGTTTCTCAGATAATCTTTCATTCTCCTCAAAGTCGAAAATGATCGTTCTGGAGTTGCTGTGGTAACGGGTATCACCGCCAAAACCCATTGGGACAGTTTTAGATCAACCAAAACATACACTGCCGCTCAACTGAATAGGTTCATGATCTCAGAGGAAGTAATTTGTCTATAATTCCTAAACCAGTGTACCGATTTCCATAATTTTTTTTCTTTGACTCCTGAATCATTTTATAATAAAATGCTGAAGAAGGTTTTTCAAAAACATATTATTTATTCCTTATTTAATTTTTCTTCTGAAAGGTTAACTAAATTCATGATTTTTTTTGGGTCAGCCTTTATGATAGATTTGTAGGTTTCCGCGCTCGTTTTGCAAGTAACAAATTAAAGTTCGCAAGTGCCAAAGACTGATACCGACCCCCACACCATTACCCCACCCTCACAGCTATGTCGACGGCTAAGGAAATGCTCTTCCTTTCGAAGATCGTGATAATAATAGTTGTAGCTATTGATTTACGCTTCTAAATTAAATTGATTTTGGTGTGGGGGTCGGTATCAGTCTTTGGCACTTGCGACCTTTAAATAGTTACTTGCAAAACGAGCGCGGAAACCTACAAATCTATCATAAAGACTGCGTTTCCTGATTATTTAAGTACTTTTCACTTTATCAAATGGTCTTACCAGTACGATAACGCTCCCATCATACAGCTAGGGTGGTAAAAGAGTGGATTAAGGCTCAAAATGTGGACTTACTTGAACGGCCCCCATATTCACCTGACCTTAATTTAATCGAAAACGTATGGGGGTTGCTATCGCGCAAGATATATGAAGGAGGCAGGTAATTTTCTTGCAAAACAACTTTAGTTAAGGCAATTAAAATAGCCTGGACAACAATTTCACTGCAAATACTGCACAATTTGTATAGCTCGCTTCCCGGTCGTGTATATGATGTTATATCGGACAACGGAGGGTTCACTTTTTATTAAAATTAGTAAAATGTACTCTAAAAATATTCATAAGTATCAGCCAAGTTCAAAAAATATGAAAATTATCTTTAGTTACTTAAATAATTTTAATTGTTTTAGGTTGAACCTATTCAGATGACCCAAAAAAAAATCATGAATTTGGTTAACCTTTCAGAAGAAAAATTAAATAAGGAATAAATAATATGTTTTTGAAAAACCTTCTTCAGCATTTTATTATAAAATGATTCAAGAGTCAAAGAAAAAAAAATTATGGAAATCGGTACACTGGTTTAGGAATTATAGACAAATTACTTCCTCTGAGATCATGAACCTATTCAGTTGAGCGGCAGGGTACATTTCTAGCAATAGGCTTTGGGTCATATTCTTGGTTGAATCTAAATCGATTCCATTTAGCCAAGTTATTGACACTTTTCACCAAACTTTCTTTGTAATTTGTTAAATATATAGGTATTAACATTCATGATACCGGCAATAAAAACTTAGTTCCCGACCCCGGATGCAGCCATATAAGCCCAAACCATGACATGGTCACCGCCGTGCCATTGCATTGCTTTTAACTTTTTAGTTTCCATCTTCGTATTGGCGAACTTGACCCAAGGCATCATATTTGTATACTTTTGAATATATTTTTTCATGCAACTTGATCATTAAAGTTATGGTGGTGCAATATGTTCCGAACTGTATGTGGGTAAAATTTGTTGACAATTTCGATCTTAATCTGAGCAGCAATTTTTGAAACCGATAGCTTGAGGTGTTCCTTACTTTTCCGGACAAAACAGCGCTCCTCGAGATCGTTGAATATTTGGTTTGGTGCAACCCGGCCCTTTTTTGTAGCCCTTTCTTGATCTAGAACTGTGCCAATGGGATTAATACGCCAACACAGTCTCCAGACTTAAATTTTATTGAACAATTGTTGAAAATTTTGGACTTAGAGATTCGAAAAAGTGGATTTTCCAACGAAAATGACCTGAAGATTTCTTTACTGCAGAAGTGGGCTAAAATACCCGTTAAAACAACTAGAAAAATGTTGAAATCTTTGTGAAATTAATTTAAAGCCCTTAACAAACGGATAGGAGCTAAAAAAAAGTTTAAAAATTAAGAAATAGTTAAGTTATTGAACATTAAATTGCTTGCACGAAATAAGCTTCGACGTCAGAAGTGCCTCGTTTTTTTTATTTTTATATGAAAAGTTGTTTTGTTTTTGTAGATTAGTAAATTTTTCTTTGTCATAATAGTTAATAAAGAGTTTCCTTAAATTACTGCGTTTAAATTTTTTTGATATCTTTTCTAGTTTGGCAGCAGTGTTGATTTAAAATTTTATTTTGTTCTTGCACGAAATAAGCTTCGAGCCACTGTACGTGGTAATTATGCATATATCTCAAGGAAAAAAAAAATTTCTAAACCCACCCCCCTTAAACAATTTTGGATTCTGGTAAATCCAGCAGTTCTATGGTATCCAAAAACTATATGGTTGAACAGAGTGCTGATTTTTAGTAATAAAAACTTAAGTTTTCACTTTAACGCACTTAATGTAACGGTAACGGTAACGGATAGTTAAGGCATTTCTCTGAAGGAATTTAACAGGAATTTATTATGAAGGGATGTATTCGTCCAAGTGTTCACTAGCAACAAGTTAGGAGAGCTAAACATTTTCGAACTACCACAAGAAGGGGAAATTCCCCCTATTATTTAAATTACCCCTTCAAAAGGGGAAAACAGTCTCTTGGCATTTTCACTCTGAATCGCCTGCAAAAGCCATGCGCCCGCTCCCTAAAATTTTCTCCGCTCTCTTGTTTAGTTCACCGCACGCCCGTATGGCGCTTTTACAATGTCGCAGGACTCGGTTAAAGCCGAGTGAAGTTGGCCGAGAGGAACGAACGGCATCCATGTGGCCTGGGCCTCTTTTTGGCTGGCTGAAATGGCGAATTTCCATGTCAGTTCACGTTCGATATTTGTGTTGTTTGGTAGCGGTAATCGGTCGACTGTCCAAACGCCTTTGAGAACGGACCGAGCGCGTAGCGTTTTTCCCAAAAATCGTTCTGAAAGATACCACCCGTCGTGTATGCGTGCGAGTTGGCTGAGATGTGTGGCTGTGTGCGTGTTGAAGTTGTTGCATTGACAAGGCGCGACCAAAAACAACGCCCAGGAAGATAGGAGAACGGATATAACAGCATCTTCTGGCCTAGCCGAGAATACAAAGAAGATAAAGGCCACAAAAGGAACGCCGGAAATCGCAAGAGCCAACAAAATTTAAGTGAGTGTGCCAGTGTGTGTGCCCGTGCCCGAGTGTGCGTGTGTGTGAGGCGCCAACTTGCCCCGGCAGAGAAATAGAAATAAATAGTCAGCCAAATGGCGGCCCAAAAGCACAAAAAGTGAAAAGAAATATTTAAGAAAATTTAATTTTGCTGCTGAGCCAAAGGCCTTCGCCGACAAAGGCCAGTGAAGTGTAACGCCAAAAAAAACGAAAAACCATTGCCGCAGAAAGTAAATTTTGAAAATCAAAGTCAAACACTGGGATCCGGAATCCAGAATCCAGAATCCGGTCTGGACTATTAAACGGTAATTGAGTCATAAATCAAGCCCTAATTAAAGCAAATTCCCTGCGATCCCTCCTTTGGTCACTTCGCCACGCGAGATTAAACTTGAAATGGGCTTTCAGAGGCGATGAAATTTGGCACTGCCCCCTCCCCACCAAAAAAAAAAAAAAAAAACAAACCAAAATCAAACTCGAAGCCTGGCCAATCCATCATACGAGATGCCCTCGACAAAAAGTGGGGAATATCACGGACTATGGGGGGCTTCAACTGATTGATTAGTTGTCGACTTGCGGGCACGCACAAGTCAAGTGTTTTAGCCAAGAATATTCTGCTCGATTGGCGCGTTTCTTTGTTCGATTGCTCTTGTTCTTTGTCAGAACGACAAACGTCCCCACACTCCAAAGGTTAAGCATTTGACATGAACAGCGCAATTAGTCCATAAATCGGATTGTGATCCGCGACCTGACAATGAACCCTGTCAGTCAGTTCAATTGTTCTGTGTTTCGCGCTGTGTGTATTTGCATTTCCACCGGACTCTTTTTGCGCTCGTTGGATTCAAATTTTGCACATGATATTCTGTGGCATGGAATATAATTGCTTATTCATAATCCGTTTAACTTTGCACTCAGTGAGTTTTTCAGGAAATGGGGAAGTACAACTTGGCAAAGCTTCGACAAACTAAACCACTTTGTTGGCTACAAACATTTTTTAAAACAAATGTCAAAGTAATCTCAAAGTATATTATTTTTACCCATTAAGGATTAAACTTGACACAATTATAAACATGTTTTAAATGTATTTTGACAAAATATTCACAAACTTCAACATTTCCATTATTACTAATCTTTAAATATTATAATGCTTAAGTAGTTATCTTTTTCTACAGGTTCGGGTACATTTTGCGGATAATTTAATAAATGATATTATAATATTATGAAATAAAAATACAATTCGTTTGCATTTCAAATAATTCAACCAAAATAAATTAATTAAATGCACCGCTCAAATTAGATTTAAGTTCGAATACCTGTTACAATACTGTTATCATTGGCTTGTTTTCTTGAAGTAGAATCAAGCCGTGTTGAAATAATAAAAAAAAGTCTTATAACTGTTTTTCTATTGTATTTTCGGTTTTGTATAAAATTTTAATTTTTTAATTATATTTTTTAGCAATTGGGAATAACTTATTAATTAAACTTTATAAAAACTAAAATGTCTGTTAGAGTCGGTATAACTGATTTGGCATACCATGAAATCTTTGCCTTACTGGAAATCATTTACTTAGCAAAAAGCCCCTGGAGAACCTTATTTAATAATGTTATTTTTCTGCCCTATACTCATTACGTTGCTGACCAAAAATAAATATCACGATGGTTTTCCCAAAAGGAAATTAACTTTTTCGGCGCGTGTTCAACCTGCCCCCCTCCTCACTTGACTTTTAATTAAATATTAATTTTGATGGGAAAATAATACGCGCACATTAGCGCAGTGGCCACCACCAGGGGCGATGACCAATGTAATTATTTGCCAGGACCGGAAGTGCTCACTTCATGCATAGCTCTGGCTAATGCCGAAGCCATATCGGATAGCTCTTGGTGGAGCTGCTTAGTCGCTGTGATTAATAATGCTTAATTGCAAGTATTTGCGCCCGAGGAAAGAACCCTCTGAGTTGCGGAGGAGCCTTTCCCCTTTTTGATTGATTACCACATTTTGTCGCACTAATTCCGGGTTGCCTAGGATAAGTTTGGCGTATCCTTGAGCCTGAACTGTAAGGATTACGAGGGGGCTTAGCAGGGCGGCCACGACATTTGGGCGGCCACGCTGTGGCACTCGAAAGCTAATCAACAATTAATGAGCAATTAATATGCAAAATTCGGCACTGGATGGAGAGGTCAGGCGTTGCTGGCTGGTTATGTGCAATCGCGCATCATTTAAGTGCATAAATTAATAAACGGTCACTCGACGCGCTTTCCACATGATGCAGTGCCTCATTAAGCACACAGGACGAGCTGGGTAAATGAAACTGGCATGTATCAATTGATCGGATCTAAATTTAAAAAAAAATCCAAAAATACTGCATTCGGTTAACTATTATGAGGGCAGACTTCCAGCTGCCACATAAATGAATAATAGTTTAATCAATTTCGAACATTTTCAAATAATCTGTGACATTGAAAGCCCAAATTTTTTTTTTGGTAGGGAACTTAAATATGAATGGGGTTCTGTTAAATGGCAACTCCAGCGGGATGATTAATTTATTTCCCGCACATCGAGTTGAATTTGTTATGAGTAAAACAAACAAACAAGTAATTGCAAGTGTCATCGAAATTATAATATATGGTCAAAAACAAACCAAATGCGAAAAAAATATATTGTTTCTATAAAAACAGCAATACATTTTTAATGCCGAACAAAGCACATCAAACAAAGAAAAGCCGCAGAAGGCAAACAAATTACATTTTAAATACCTCATGCAGACGAAACGTAACTATTTACAATGGCCTCCTGGGGAATAATAAAGTGAGCATTTCAGTCGCCAACAAATGCTCGGAAAACTGCGCCGATAAGAAGAAAATTATGAGCAAGCCAAAATGTTGCCTGGCAATTGCAGTAATAATATGTCACGAATCCGTGCGACTAAACATAAAATAATGGCAGCTATAAATCATGGACATTGGCCTTGTCAAATGGCAAGCGTTTGATATATTTGCGGCTGGCGAATGCCAAATCTACACGCAATCGGAATACCACCAAAGGCCACATTTGAAGTTATTTGAATAGCAGTCGGCCAACGTAAACTCAAGCAGCCAGAAAAGGCATTAATTCCGTGGGAGTCAAACTCCTGGGAAGCTCCAAACTGTTTTTGTTGTGTTCAAGTTACTTTGGCTTAACAACTCCCATCTTCTGCTTGTCTGGGCTTCACAAAAATATTTTATAATTAGGCTAATTTAAAATTCTTTTTCGCCCCCGGCTAATTTCCAACGCATTGCGTGTTAAGAGGAACGTATTTTCGCCGCATTGTTTTCCGTGAATACATAAAATTCTAGGGCTTGCTTCTCCCACTCAACACGAGCATAATTAAATCAAATGGAGGCACACGTTGTCTAGCAATAATGGGCAAAAATCACAAAAAAAAATCAGGAAAGGAAAGGAAAACAACAACGAATGTAAAGTTTGATAAATCCGGCTCTCGTTATTTCCGGGCCTTCATTATACTGTTTTGTTTTGGTTTTCTTTTATTTTTCTGATAAGGGCAATTAGCAAAGTTTTTCCAGCGAGGGCAAACAAAGTGAAGCATACTTCTGCGGGGGAGCTGCTGTCGCATGCATAGTTTTTGTGGAGAGCAAGGGGATCTGCCATGTAATTGAATATTAATCATACGCCACCCACGCCCATAACTCACGAATGGGGCGGGGCATTTGCATGGCAGGCCGGACAGGTGAGCGAGAGACCCTGCCGTGAATCGAATGCATGCACTGGAAATAAAATAAAAATGTCGTGGATGTTGTTCGCTGCCAGGAGCATATATTTATGCAACAACAAGGACAACAAGGAGTCGCCTTCGTAGGTGGACCTCTGCCGGGCACCTGGCATTGCATGCGGGGCCATAAATAAATTTGCTCATATTTCAGCACATGAACAATAATTAAATTCGTTTATATGGCACATGGGAACGGCTAACCGTTCGCCCTCTCCACTCTTGCCACTTTTTTTTAGCCCGCCTTGGCCATCATCTTTGTAGTTTTTGTGCTGACTGCTGACATCCATAATGGAATGAATGCTGATGCTGCAGCCCAATTAATTGTTTTTACCGCCTGCGCTGCATCGAATTTATTCCTGCAGTTATTACACCCGGCGATTGGCATTGGCAGACTAGCAAAAAACTCATGCGGGGCAAATAAATGCCAAGTTTATGGGGGACACCCACCAGCTTTCAGCTTTCAGCTGTAGGGAAACCGAGTTCGCTTTTTCAATTTGATAAAATCGAAAATTAATTAAGGATTTATTTTGGCCTCTTTCTGGCGGTTCCTTTTAATGGCCTTCCTGTTCGTTTGATGGCTTTGAATTTTCAATGCGCTCGCCATGAATAAAATTCATCAAACAGATAACCCACGAGTTATGACTGCTGTTGAATCGGTCGACTTCATGAAAATTAATTACCCGGCATATTATTATTATTCCCGCAGCTTGGGAAGCCAGAGAACAACCTGTGTGTTGCCAAATCTATTTTCGATGAGTTTTCATTCAGTAATGTTCGATGCCACACATGGTTTTACTTTCAATTATAATAAAAAACGGCTCATTAAAACGGGGAAATTTAAATTATTGTTGCAAATTATAGCTTTCCGGGTATGATCCGGCAGCATTCCTTTGACCTTTCCAATTCTGCATTCAGTGGACCAAGGCGAATATAAATTGTTTTGCGGCTGCAATTAAACGAGGAATGCTTTTTCTCACGCATCGCAGAGAATAAAATTCCAGCCAAGCATATGTGAAAAATGTATCTGCTGCGGCTTTTTCAATTATAATTATAAAAACACGTCCATAAAAAATGTGTTAAAAACACTGCGGAAGATCTGACAAATATTGATTTAAGTGGGACAGGCGAATTAAATTTGCATACATTAAGATTCAGCTTAAAGCCCCGGTGGTGTTAAGTTTAAAATTTCTGACAAGTTGTCGAGGGGCAGATCACCACCCAAGGCGTTTGTTGAGCTGCGGAAAAGTCAAGCACTTCAGACAAATCCACCAAAGGGCCATAAAATATCAATTCCTTCCTTCTGCCAGCTCCAATTTAAGTCAGACAAAGCATTTCAGGCTTTCAACTATTAAAAAAGAGTTCCAAAATATTGGTTTGTTCAAACATTTTTGATAAGCCAGATACTGAGTTTAGCTACTGTAAATAATTGTGTACTTGTCAAACAACAAGCAAATATTTTTGTTAATGGGTAAATAATTTAGCTAAGAGTGTTTGTTAGACTCATTTTCCTCTTGCTGTTGCCGAGTCACACGTTACACGTT